AAAGAGATATTTTGTAATGGTGAACATATTTGAGAAAGATAGCGTTCTAGTATATTTATTAGCCATATACTTTTCTTATCTTGTGTGAGGATGAACGGACACACAGACAACTCTTAATATAAAACACTTGGATTTCTTGTTCATGATCTTTGCCACTATAGAACATTTCCATTACAATTACTGTATTATCCGTACTTTATCCTTTTTTATATTTTTATTTTTAAAAGATTACATTTCACCAAAAATTCAGTAAAAAAACAATGCAAGCTACTAAATTAAAGCTGCATCAATATGCAATATCTCTAGGTTCTGCTATAAATATCAAACTAAGACAGAGGAGGAAAACCTACTCATTTGTACATAGCCATTAATGCAGCGTATAAAGCAAGAAAGATATATACGATAATGGATAGCACTCTATTCTCAAGGGAATTACATTCTAACAGCATTTCTTCGGTTGAATGAGAAAGTGCAAGACAATGAAAGCAGTAGCTTCAAAAAAGAAGTGAAACTAGCAGCCCACTGAATCAAATTTTATTTAAAAGACAAACTTCTGTTTAAAGATAATCCTTAGAAATACAAAATTTTATGCTTGTTTATTAACACAAGTATAATGTAAACTAATCAGAAAAGAAAATCTCAGCAGAATATTTTAGAGAGAAAAAGATCAATTCCAGGCATTAAAGTCCCTATCATAGTCTATCAAGGCTAAAATATAACAATTAAGGTGAAATTATGGAAATATATGTTTAAATTACATTTTAAAAGACTAATGTTTGGCTCAAGAAAAGCCTTCCTCCATCAGAGGAAAGAAAGCTGAAATGGTCAAGATTTGTTCCAATCTAAGAACATATATTCAAGAATTTTATATTGTAGGGAAATAAAAAGATGCATTTCTCATATTACCATGTTTCCCCCAAAATAAGACCCAACAGGAAAAGAAGCCCTGGCATGATTTTTAGGATGCTTGTAATACAAGCCCTACTCCCCAAAATTAGCCCCAGTTAAAATCCGTCAGCCAAATGGATACATTTTAATACTGTATTTCCCCCCAAAAAAGACCTCACCTGAAAATAAGCCCTAATGCGTCTTTTGGAACAAAAATTAATATAACACCCAGTCTTATTTTCAGGGAAACACAGGTAAGTATCCATCTACAGTGGGTAGTGATTAAGGTGTTGTCTTAGAAACCATCTGACTGGGAGTTCTAGCCTTCCTTAGCCGGGAAAGCCAACTAGGTGACTTTGGGCTAGCCATTCTCTCTCAGCCAAAGAACCTAATTGGGTTGCTATTGTTGTGAGGGGAAACCTGGCAAGAATATTAAATTATTCACTTCCTTGAGGCAGAATAAAAATATCATTATCATCATCACCATTATCATCGTCATCATCCTCTTCATTGCAATCTTGTGATATAGCAATCTCTTTCCAATTCAACCTACCTGATATTATTATATAAAGTTTGCCTGTGTATGTACAAGTTTAAAATCCCAACATCTTTTTTACATTGAATTAACACAGGAAGCCAAGGGAACATATTTCATCCTAATATGTAGAAAAAATATGGCCATGATACCACACCTTATTTTCCATCAAAATCTTGCCTCCCAATTAAGATTATTAAAATTCTGGTAATAAAGAGTTAATATCTGCATTAATATGCTTAAATAATGAAATCTAGAAATATGTGTTTCATCATAAGACACCCTATCCACATTATACCCTAATGAGTTAGAAACTATATGTATTCATTACTTTGCTACATTTGGTTTAAAAAATATTACTTTCAATCAATAGAAGATTGACTGACTGACTGATTTTGAAGGGCAGAGAGCAGCTCCACACAACTAATACCTATCAACAACAATAGCCTGAAAACAAAACAAAACAAAACAAACCCACACACTGTCAGTTCACCAGTGAAAATACTGAAAAACAAAAGGCTGAAATTATATGCTGGAAACAGAATGCTAATAGTTCAAAATAAATATACCTATAGTATATATCTCTATATGAAATAGCACACTTTGAGGTCCTATCAGCAGACATTCTTACATAAATTGAGACTTGGAGACAGGTGATACTATTCAGCCTCATTGGATGGATAAATGAATATAAATTGGTTTTAGAAATAACCTATTCCAGAACCATGGTTGATACAGTTCCAGAATCTATGGAAATTCTTAGCCTTCATTCATCAATACTTTCATATACTAACAGAACACTTTTGTTTTATAGGTATTTAATTAATGTTCTACAAAATAGATATTCTTCTACTTTAAAACGGGATAGTATTTTCTTTACTTCTAACTGTTGCCCAGCTTTCATGATTTCTCTTTTGTGTTTCTACATTATTTTAATTTAGAAGTCATATTTAAATAGAATCATCTTCGCCCCTTCATCCTTGTTACAAAATAGACAAAATGAATGGATTTTAATAAAATCATATATAATGCTGCGCTATCTTAATAGTCATATTAAAATAACAATGATTAACAATTAGCATTATATAGCCCCACTGTTGCCTTAGCACTATACAATTTGTTATTATATACTGCTCTATATATCATCTGTTTCTCTTGCTGGACTATTCCAATAAGAGACAGACAGCTGCAACACTATTTCCCCATTCACCATAAGGACCATCTGACTTTAATTGTAGTACACAGCTTGATGTGGGTCTGGTTATGAGAAGCCAAAGTATCACAGTGTAATAATCCGGAAAAGCAAAAGCCTGCCAAGCACAGGACTGAAACAGAGGCTTGGGCTGTTTAGTTGGCTGATGAGATGGAGGAAAATATGATTAATGAGCAAGGTATAATGATATCAGGAACCCGATTAGCACCACAAAAAGGTCACAGATCAAAGCAGCATGCATTTCCAATCACTGCAGAAAAATCTGTACTGTGTATTGAAAGGGGAAAAATTGCCCATTGTACCCTACAAAATTACCACTTAAAAGGACTATAATAATTTATAATTATCTCATTAATTGCAAAGATAAATATATCAGCATTCTATTTTTGAAACAGATCTAGTAGTAATGTGTTTTAGTCAAAATATTCTTTTTTTAAGAAATATATTTTCCTTACTTACATTTTTTGTAATCAGACAACTATCTATTTATATAATATTAAAATTAAATGCTGAAAAGGTAATTGTTTGGACTATATTTTCAGGATGTCATTTGGAAAATGCCTATACACATATGTACTATTGTCACCTTAGTAATAATTGGTATATATCAGTGGTGGGTTCCGGATCCCGTTGCAACCTGTATGGTGCAACGGGGCCTGGTATCCACCACATTAATGCACACAGTGTGCACATGTGTACTTACCACCCACAATGCTCTGTGATGCCTCCGCAACGATCCAGCTGCTTGGAGAAGAGTCGCGCAGGCGTCATATGCTCCATGCGCATAAGCCCCGATAACCTCAATTACCGGTAAGGAGCACGAGTGGGTGGGTGGATCCTCTGGAGCACAGTACCGGAATGGTACCTGGTGCTCCCGGCAGGCACCGGTACGCTCGTACCTGGTGCTCCCGGCAGGAACCGGTACGCTCGTACCTGGTGCTCCCGGCAGGCACCGGTACGCTCGTACCGGGGCAAACCGGTCATAACCCACCACTGATATATATAATTAAAAAAATCAAGCTAAATTGGACACCATAAATCTACTGTCACTATTAATATCTTGCTTTTTCCTGTATTTTGGAGTTAAACATAGATGTTGTCTAGGTAGTGTTTAAATACAAATCTGCTTTGTTTCAGTAAAATGGATGAATATCATTCTTACATTGGAACACAACATTTTTGAAATTCAAATTAAAACCTTTATTGTCAAAGTACAAAATGTGTACAATGAGATTGGTAAATTTGTATTATACCATATTTGTATAGTGAATTGTGTGAAATTCATTATATAATTGCAGAGAAAAACTTTGCATTGTTGGTTTCTGAGGATTGCTTCCCTAAATAGATATTATCATTGGCAGAGTAAAAGGGAGAGAAATGAACTACTCCAGGATCCATACAAGTCAGAAATTGTGTAGTATTGTATATGCAAGAAAGAAGCATTCTTACATGTTGCTATATTCCTAATTTCAGCCCCTTTTCTTGGTGGACCCTTGTTCCCTACTGGGAACAAATCTATTTACGAGTTTCTTTATCCTGAAGCAGAAAAGTAGGAAATATTATCCTATATGCACTCCTGAAACCCCTGAGATACCAGAATATGATGTTAAACTCGAGTTTCGAATTTCTACATTTTGATAGCACATATTTTCCCCAGAATACTAATGGGGAAATGGAAGGAAGAGTTTTACATGAACCCAACCACTACAATCTTGAAATTGAGTCCACTTCCAAACATCTGAACTGCCCTGAAACCATATTTTAAGGATTTGGGTGAGAGGTTTTCTGCTCACATTATATTCTCCCAATTAATACATAAGTATAGTAGTGTGCCAAAAAAAGAAACATGACTCTCAAAAATAGGAAAAAAAAACATTCTTCCATATTACCTATTTGAGGAATTCATTTGGTTTTACTGTTTCTTTTCCATATTTACATTAGTGTAGTTTTTCTTAAAAATATGTTTGCATGTATCTATATAGTAACTTTCACCATTCTACTAGAAACTTAAATAATTTAAATGATAGCTCAATTCTGAGAAGCCAAGAAAGATATCACAAGTAATCTAAATGTTGAATTGAAAAATATTACAAAGAAGTACTAGGAAGATAATTACATTAAAGCATTGATAAAAGCTCTGTGAATGCTGTTAACATATTTTACCATTTTAGTGATATGATTAAAAATTAGCACCAACATTTAAATTACAAATAAATGTAAAACTATTTATATTTTCAGTCTTCCCAAATAGCTGTTTTCATTCCAAGCTACATAAATTCCAGGTTTACATGATTAAAAATGACATATTTTTTGAGAAAGCTCATAACTTAACACAATTAATAGTTGACTGTTATCTTACCAGTCTATTTATGCGAACAAATTCTTCTGGGGTTTTGGCCCATGGTGGAAGTTCAACATCAGACACCACTGTTCCATCATCCATCACTCCAAGATTGTAATTATTGAAATTGACAAACATCTCAGGTAGATAATAAAATTCAGGAACAAGCTCCTATATGGAAATGAAAACCAGTGACACGTAATAAATTGGGTTATCATAGAAGTCACTCACTTAAAAGAGATAGTGAATGCAATGGAAAGTACTTTCATTTTGTACATATAATAATATTTTCATTTTACATGTATTAAATATTGTCAGAAAACTTGCTCATAGTGGTAGATAAATGCAATATTTGAAATGTTGAATGAAAGAAAAGTAGGTATGTCTAAGTGTCTAAACATAGTTTAATCTGAAATTAAAGCACTAAATCTTAGTATTCTTTAAAATAATGGAAGCTGTAACATTTCAAACTCATATTTTTAACTTTTGTTTTAAAAAATATGTTTAGAAACATTAAATACGCACTAAAGTATATTGTAAAATGTGTAGCATTATATTCTGCATCTGATTTCAAAAGCAGATTCAGAAAAATCTGTCTAAATGATCAGCTCATATTTCCTGAATAATTTAAGATACTATATACTCTTATGCTTGATATGTCTATGTAAGCAGTAACATACTCAGTTTGGCAATATAATGCTTATAAGATGCATTAGTATTATGCATACAACAATAAAGTATTGCATACTTAAGAGTGTAGCTGGAGATTAATGGTAGCACAAATTTTTAGGAAAATTGGCTACCGCAATGATAATGTATAGGATTATTTTTTAAAGCATTTAGAATGAGTAAACCTCTATTAAAGCAATCTCTTTATCAATATTAGTATAAAGATATTTAAATGCTGGATAACTTTTTTTAAAAGTGTTAGGCAAAATATAGTATATATAGAAGGACTAAAAATATATATATTAACTGAGACAATTAACTAATCAATTGACTTGGATCCAAAAGCTCCTTCTCAATTTGTGGAAAATTTATTCTATTATCATTCAAATTCATTCAGTTATGATTTATTATAACTAGAAGTTTATTCTTTGTAAACTTATTTGAATTGCTGTTCTCTATTTCAATAAAATATATGTATTTTAAGAAATGACCCCAACCAAGTTTTCATACGTAAAAGTTATTTTGAAATTTATGATGCCATATAAAGAGCTACACATCATAAACTCCATTTTATAGTACATTAGTTACCCCAAAATTCTGGTAATGGAATCAGGATATGTATTTGATTTTCTACAATACTCTGACTCTGGCAACTCACTATACCACCTATATCTGTTTCAGGAGGTCCAGTAGGGATATGAAAAAAATAGCACTAGGAAGATTTTTTTTTTTTGTAACACTATCACTTATCCCATGTGGGTATTGTTTTGTACATGAACATGTGCAACAGTCTTAATACTAACTAGTCTTTAGATTTACATGAAAGAGCAGGTAGTTTCTTTTCGTTATAATATAGCCTATAAAAATATAAAAATTTAATTGCTTTCTCTTGATTGCCACATGGTACTGTTCTTAAATTATACTCTGTAATTCATGTAAATCAGGTTTCCTGACAGAAGTAATTTTTATATCCATAAATTAAAATTGTCACTAAAAATCATAGTTGAAGACTGGATAGATTTAGCCAAGTTCAAACATAATGCTGAATTGCATTATTTTAAATATATAAGCAATTTTTTTTACATCAGAATGAAACTAATTGTCCCTATGCTTTTTTAGACTGTGGGCAAGATCTACATTTTTAATTAAAAGTTAATAGAAATTTAAAATATTAATTAAGGCATTAGCTATTAAATGAAAATATTACATAATAGAAATATAAAACTATTTTACAAGTTACTTAAGATTCCTAATAATGTTGAACTTTGTAATGTTCTTCATTTTATATACTCATAAGAAATGCTTCAAATGATTAAAAAAACTCTGCATATTATTAATTTGATGTGTTAAAATGTTAAAATAAGCTAGCCAATTTGAAACTAATTAAGTATACAAACCGTTGAACAGAATGTACAATATGAAGATTTCATCATAGCTGTCAATTATACTAAGAGTACACTAGTGTATGCCTATCTTTCTTCTAATTACATTGTGGTGTACCACATTTAATCTAGAAAATAAAAATAATAAATATGTTATTATTGTTTGCCTGTTTCACATATTTCTCAAGGTAGAAAATGTATTTTATTTGCTGTTATTAATATTTACCATAACGGAACATTATAAAATGTTTATAAAAACAGATTAGAGAAAGCAATTAATTCTTCTGGGAATTCAATTTCTTTTAACAAACACTTCAAGAATGAAAGGACTTAATATTTGTAATTGCTTTAGGAAATGATTTCATTGCAAGTAAATGGTGTAAAATTGGTCTTTCTTCCAACAAGTGAAAACTACTTTCCATTTAATAAGCAGAAAACCACATTCTGTGCATTGGCCCCAGTGGTTAAGGATGTTAGAGGCCCAGTGTATCAGATTCTAAATCCACTCTTGACATGGGTCAATGGATCAGTGGTCTTCCAGATACCACCCTCAGGGTCAACTATGGCAAGAACAGTTTCCAAATAGCTGAGTGCAATACCAGGTCATCAGATTATAGACAAGGTCAGCCTAGAGTTACTAGAGCAAAAGCAGAAAAAATGAAGCAAGAATTAAGCTATTATCACCTCAAACCTTGTCAAAAACAGCACAGTGATGTATGCTGAATCGTTGTATACAGGTTTGTGAATTATTCTAAAACAAGATCACAGTAAGATTAATGCAAAATGTCTCCTTAAAATAAACTCCAGAGAGGTATATAGAGCTATCTTATGGGCTAAAGAAATTGGTGGCAAACAAATTTAACAAACAAACACACAAGAGAAATGGAAATATTTACACATGTTTAATTTAAACATATATATTGGATTTATCAGAAAAGAAATAATACAATTTGTCCTTGGTTTAACTTTAAATTCTCTTACTAACGAAATGTCATTCAAATCTGAATATTTTAATCATGAATGCAAATACATTCTACAATATAATCTAAAAAATTATGTCCATATTATTTTTAGATGAACTAATACCCATATTGTTATTCGGAAAGATTCAAAGGTAACTTTTATTATAAATAATAGGCAAAAATCTTGCCAATATCTGTCTTTACTAAAACCATTACAGTTATTATGTCCATTATTTTTCAGACAAATTAGTAATCAGGTTTGCCCTGATCTGCCATTAATGATATAGCTTTGGTTGCTTTTACACCACTTCAATTCAGTAAAATGGTAAGTAATCTAGTGTGAGTAAAGTATGAGTAAATGTATGAACCAAAACTACAATAACTTTGAAGATATACAATATTTTCTCTTTTCCTTTAATTAAATCAGCTATATTTTTGAGGCTTCTATTTCAATCTAAAAAAGAATGTCATTGCCTTAAGAGTCAAATGACTTCGCTTTCTAAAGCAGTGGAATGATTTTTCAGGTTCTTGCAGACACTTGCAAAAGTGTATGGCTCTTTCAACTTTTGGCAGTACGGTTTTGTTTGTGTTTATGTGAAATCCCCCCAAAATCTAAATCATTTCCAATAATCCAGCTCCAGGATTATTAACTGCTATGGAGCATTTCTGGTGTAGTGTTTCTACATTATATTTTATATCTTCCTGAATGTTTCAGAGGAAAAAAGACAATCTGAAAGCAATTTGATGAATGAGGAAACACGTTTCCTGTTTCTCCTCCTGTTTCCCAATGCCAGTCAGAAAGAACTTTAGTTTTTGTAAACGTTTCAGGGAGTTGTTAGAAATGTACACCAACTAAATAAAGGACAAATTCCCCTGGAGGAAATGTGGTAGCTGAGAATCAACAGTGACTTAATGGAACTTAATTATATCAAATAAAAAAATGGAAAAATCAATTTAATTGTCAAATATTTTTTAAAAACCCTGTTTTATTTTAGTATTAAAGAATTCCATGGTTACTTCTAATAATATAGCTTCTACATTTTTCTACATTAAGGCCTACATTTTAAGATTTTGTGAAGATCTTTTTCCCAACAAACAAGTCACAGAATTTCAAATAAGTTATTCCTAACACACACACACACACACACACACACACACACACACACACACATAACCTCAGACTCCAACTTCTTGTAGATTTTTGTACCTCAACTATCAAACTGAACCCTTAAATGTTTGCTTTGAGTTTTGAGTGTTTTCTTTTTTATTCCCTTCTATTTTATTTGCTACACTGTTTGTGCCCTATAATGTATTGTTTATATGATTATTTTGTAGATGATTCTTAATATATGCATATTAGGTATCCTTAGAAGAAGGAAAGGTAGGTTATAATCATATCAATTAATAATAAGTGAAATTCCAAGACTTGTTCAAATCTTATGTCAACCTACAATAGTCCTAGGGTCTCTGTAAAAATAAATAAGATAATATACATAAGCATTCTTTTTATTATGATTATTTAGTGTGCTCTAGTTAGATATCCATAAATTTTAGCAGATGAAGCCTCATCGGTATATATTTCTTACAGATTATATTGTTAAAGCTGATTTTCATTTATTTGTTTTGCTAGGAAAGAGGACAGAAACTTGTGCATTACTGACACTAGATCTATTTCTGTTTTCCCCAAAATAAGCCCTCCCCGGATAATAAGTTTTCCTCGAAAATATTGCAACACAGCAGCAGCCATCAAGTGACCACACTCACTGCCTCCTGCACCTCAAAAAAATAAGACACCCCCTCCCCCAAATAAGGCCAAGTGCTTATTTTGGGGTCAAAAGAAAATAAGACCCTGCCTTATTTTCGGGAGGAAATGGTATTAGCTTGTTAGAATTATTGTATCTAATTATTTGTGGATTCACTCTGGGTTGTTTTTTTTACTTTCACCTTGTAATCACACTATATCTAAGAAGTCTAAAATTATGAGAAACGAAATAATACGAGAAAATTGAAATTCATGTAAGTATGTTCTTAACATTGTTAGAAATTATTGGTAGATTATAAGTAAATATATACTTAACTGCAGATATGTCCTGAACTATTTTTATTTACTTATTTATATTTATCAAATTTCACAAATGTCCATCTCCCTTACAGTGAGGTTTAATTTTTTTAAAACCCTTCCTCGCCTTTATGGGTTGGCAGGAGCTGGGGAAACTCTTCATGCAGTTCTTGCATCTTGAACTGCCAACCTTCCAGTCAACAAGTTCAGTGTCTTAATTGCTGGGCCCCCTGCTTTGATTTAATCTATACAATATTTTCAAGTTAAGATTTGGCTAGGATTAGATAGGCCAAGTATAATGAGGAGTTGATTTTTGACAACTGTGTGGTTATTCTTCATACCAAGCCTAGATAATAAATAATCAGTCTCTGCATGCTTAATCTTTAGTTGACTTGTAAGATTTTCATGTGCTATGCACTCAGACTAGAATCTGTATTGCAGACCCTATTGTCACATAATCAATGACAGCCGATTGCTATGCTGCAGTGCAATAATGTTAAGAGACATATATATTTATTGTCAATTTTTAAATTTTAAGGTTATTCATCATCTTGTTTTGAATTAATGGGTACTTGGCATGTCACCTAACGACTTTGGACAGTTGAGATATATTTATATAATGGCCATCTCTATCCTGGGAATTTCCTTCTCGCTTGCTTCAGTCTTTATATATATTAAGAATTGTTGAAATTAATTTGTTAATTCATTAAATTACATGTATGTTGGATAATATATAATCACTTAATGAAAACACATTATAGAGCAGCTAATCATTTCATCATGTTTTCTACACTGTTGATTTAAAAAAATAAAAACTTTTATAAAGAGTATAATTGTGCTCTAGCTAGTGCTTACACAGTAAATACTTCTTTTCCAGATTTGCTTATTCCAGCAATATTTGGTTTTGTAAAACGTTTACATAATTAATTGTACAAGCATGTAAACATCAATATAACTCTTGAATAATTATCACCACTCACTCTTTGTCTGTCCCATCTTATTTTGTTCCTAGAAACATTTAGATAGTGACCATAGATGCAGCCAACATACTAAATTAGCTTTGAATTTTAGAAATTCCAAAATATCTGTCAGGTTGAGGACAATTGATATGCAGATAGTGGATAATTTCCTTCACTTTAAAAAATGACACAACAAAATTGTTATTAATCATTAAATAGTAATATATGTTTATCAATATACTGGGCTACAAGCAGAGACACAAAATGCAACATCATAATCATGGAACTATAACCAAAATGTTACATAGTTCTCACAAGCCATTCTTTCCACATGCCCTATTCGTTTCATGATGATGTAATTGTAGAATCAAGATCTTATATGAGGTGGTGGTGATGATGATGACGACAGCAAGATGAATACAATAATTATTTTAAGAGCTATATTATTATAAAGCTTGTTTTTGACATATGGTGAATTTGCCTAAATTCATCTCATTCCTGTATAACTTTGTTCAGAAGAGTGTGACTACCTTTATTTGCTATATGATACATCAGAAGAAAATTACCTGCAGTAAAAGTCAAATTGTACTTAACTATGTCAAAGTTCACATCTGCCTAATACTTTAAAGGTAGTTTTGAAAGGTAAAATATGTTTTAGTTTTTACTTAACAATGGAGTAAAAACATATGTTAGCTAAGTATGAACAGGGACTGAGGGAAAGCACTAACACCTACCTGACAGTAAAGTAAAATTGGAAAAGGAGTTTTAGTTTATCTAATGTTCTACCCTGCCGTGTAATTATTAGACTATAACAGTAAGTTCAAATCGGCAGAAAAGAGCTTGTATAATGTAAAAACAAAACAAAAGCTAGGAGTTCAAACAAAAATTAAATGGCAGTTAAAGGATTGCTTGATGCTTTGATCATAAGTTCAGAACTTTTATGGCCTGATGACAAGGATTGGCTTTAACCTCATGTATATCTATATATAATTTTATTTCCTCAGTTTTGATGTAAAAAAGAATGAAAGAAGCTGGGCATAGTATGAATGTATATCTTATTTGAAACTGTTCAAAAAACAGGATAAGCTTATTAAGCATTGTATCTTCACTCTTTTATTATAACAACTAGTTTGGTATTTGGAACAAGGAGAATAGTCAGCATTTAATCTCCCCTTAATGGCCCTTGAAGACAAAGATGCAAGAGTCGGTTTAATATAGTGGTTAAAGTACCAGGCTAGAAATCAGGAAATAGTGAGTTTTAGCCCTTCCTTAGGCACAAAATCACCTGCTTTTCTTGTTTGTTTGAAGACAAGAGTCTAAAAACAGAAAATATTTTGTTTTAAGAGGTACAAGTGTGAGTTGGACATGTCTGTTCTCATTATGGTAATCCTAGCAATGATCAGAACAGGGGTTTTGCCATGTTTAGCTGTTAGCCTGGATAACCATCTGATATGTTTAATGCTGGGGTCCTGATGATCAAGTATCTCACAGAGAAATTACAAAAAAAATAGTACTGATTATATAATATCATCACTATTAGAATCCACACCCTTCTTGAGTTACTTCAGCCAGACAGAAAAAAGTCTCAAACAGAGCAAAAATATTCTCTTCATTGGAATCTGCATATGCATACTAAGATTAAGATTGTGTGAACAGTGAAAGCACTAGACAGAATAACTGTCATTATAAAACAAACAAAATCCTTGGAACAACCAAGAAAATAAGTAACTTGCAAAACCACAATAGCTTTCCCCCCAATTAAAATAATGTGGTTTAGTTCTACGGTGATCCAGCATTAACAGTAATTTAAAACCCAAAAAGCTACAAAACTTCAGTTCACACCTAATTTGGAGACTGTTTACATCTAATATAATAGAAACCTTGCAAGACCTAAAAGTCTTCCTGACTCGCTTGTCCATGCATGCAAACGTCCTGTCTCTGATAGACAATTCTGCAGAGATGGCAGAAAAAGCTTTCTGCTACAGCAGTTTAGATCAAAATGGCTATTTTAGAGAAAGTTTTGAATGTATAACTTTTGACCTTATAAGGGAAAAAAAGCATCACTGACATCAGGCCATTAAAACATGATTCAATCTAGATCTTAATCCTGAAGTTGATGAATCGGTCCTGTACTTTGATGAGAACATCATGTCATTCTTTTATGAAATCATGTTGAATTTTTTTTTCAAGTAAACTATATCACTAAGTGGGTACTTTGACCTTTTGGCAAATGCTATTAGAGTTCAAAAGCACATGAATTAGATTTGCTTGACTTTGTGACAGATATCCACCTTTGTCATTTTGCTAGTATTTTGGGTGTTAGTGGTTGTTCATTGATCTCTGTGTGTATGCTATATTCCATATAATAGTTCAAAAATGTTTAGGAGCTAAGGAAGATATATATTCTTTCTTTTACATCAAAGCAGAGGAATAAGTTTTAAAAGATTTCAGTGTCATGGTTTGACAAAAATATCGCCAGCCCACAGTATTCAACTTGAGTTATTTCCAAGCTAGCATTATTCTATTGTTATACATATTCAAATATTAGTGCTGTATGTACAAAACACAAAGGATAGTTCAATTTCCACTTTCCTACTTGAAAGCTGTATTGTAATCATTTCAAAGAAGGTAACTCTTATATTCTTCAAAGTTCTACACACTGACAAATAATCATCATTATGTTCATCACATTTTAAAATTTAAATTGTACTTTACCTTTATATCTGATGTGTCACGTTGACAATTGCGCCATGCCCTTGAAACTGATGAGAAAGCTCTATCTGCATGATCAAACTTCCCACCTTGTAAGTTCAGGAAAAATGTTGTAAAAGGCTCCTAAAAACATGATTAAAATGGAAGATGAAATACTTTGTGAAGCAGCAGCAGTTTCCTTTTTCTATATTTCTAATACAGGTAGTCCTCGACTTACAACCATTTGTTTAGTGACCATTCAAAGTTACAATGGCATGGAGGAAAGTGCTTTATGACCATTTTCACACTTATGACCATTGCAGAAACTCCATGGTCACATGGATCAAAATTTAGATGCTTGTCAAGTGGTCCATATTTATGACAGTTGCAGTGTTTCAAGGTCATGTGATCACCTTTTGCAACCTTCTGACATGCAAAGTCAATGGGGAATCCAAATTCACTTAACAACCATGTTACTAACTGAACAACTCCAGTGATTCACTTTACAACAGTGGTAGGAAAAGTCATAAAATGGGGCAAAACTCACTTAACAACTGAAATTTTGGACTGAATTGTGGTCGTAACCTTAGGACTACCGTACTTCACCTTGTCTGAATAAAATTATATGTTTTGCCTCTGGAAAGAAGTAAAAATAATAACGCAAGTTATTCATTTCAAAAATATGTAAAGAGAATCCTATATTATGGTGTTGCTTGGAGGGTTGCTGGAAAATCTGGGTTGCAGATTTTCCGTATTTCTTCTATTATTCCATTAGTGCATTCACTACAGTTATAATTCAATCTAGCATTTACATATCCGTAACTGTATACAGAACAGGAATTAAAGGATATCTAGAGATGGATCCAAGAGATTTCAATAGCTTTGATATAATACAAGCAATCTTTGAATAAAGGATATTAGCACATTTGTTAGTCAGCTAAATCTTCCCTACGAATATTATGCATGCACACTACCTTCCTGCAAATACAGTTCACAATTAAGAGAGAAAAATGTTAACAACTGAAAAAAATCTCCTCTTCCTCAAAAGATACCTAAGCACATATTAGATGATAATTGCCTGAAATTAGCGAAGTACCATAAATTACTGCTAGGATTTATGTCTGCTTGTATGAATCTAACAAGGCTTAATTAATGACTTTTTGCTAATGCTTTCCCAAAGAAATTAGTTTCTATCAGGTAAATCATAATTCCAATTTATTTTACAGAAACTTGGCTCATTTCATCAATATATCAAATCTGTCCAACTGCATGTTATCCAGAAGTATATATTATTGGAAAAATTCTATTATATCTACATAAGTTTACATTCCAGATTAAATAATGGTCATACAACCAAATCACAGTTTTAAACTGGAAAAAAAAAACCAAAGTCTACTCTACTTTTCTTGTACATACATTTAATGCAAACCTGTTCAGTTGCATGATTCCAGATAAAATATTGAGTACCATTGAGTACCTTCTTTATGCATATACACAAAAATATTCTAATACACACTTACAATTCTTAACAACCAAGTGAGTGCAAAGCTGGCTGTTGAATAATGAGTGCCATAATGAAACTTTGGAACTTGATCATCTTCCCATGTTTCGTAGCGTTCTGCAAAGAATGCAGCTCGTTTGGGATTAAGAGCACCAATAGGCTAGGAAAAAGAAAAAGAACACAGTTTAGTGTATCACTTCATCGGCAGTTGTTGCAAAACAATAAATACATAGTTGGATTATTATTATTACAATTTAATATAATGAGTTGTAAAACACAGAACTATGTAAGTGTCAAGTATCATGTAAAATATCACATGATAGCAAGATAACAATTTCAGAAATATAAAATTGCATTTATTTAATTGGATTATTCATTCTAATAATTCTTTATTACTACTGCAAATTTTACAAAAGGAAACATATAAGGAGTATTTGGTCCTATGTCTCTTAAGTATATCGGATTATTTCCTCTGACAAAATTCCACTTCAATATCTTCACAAAATTCTATATCAACATGGGCTACTTCCACTTAATTTCTATAGGCCTAGCAAAAATGTGATAGCAAGTTTTACAACATAAGCATGCCAACTCATATGGCTCCAAAGGCCATACATTCAGTGGTGGGTTGCTCCTACTGTCACTACTGGTACGCTGATCATGCGCTCGTACATTCTGTTCGTGCACGCAACTGACTTGCGCTATGCGCGTGTGTGCAATCCATTGCCCCTGCAACAACCAGCTGATTGTTGGGGCTCACGCAGGCACCACATGCTGTGCGGGAGTGCATACTTTGCCATTTGCCATAAAAATAGGTCGGCCTCTGTTTTGCTGCTTGCTTTCGGCTGCCATTGAAATGGGGAGGGAGGCACAGTATTTGGGTGGGGGAGTATTCAGTGCAGGAGTGGCTGTAAAAAGGGAGTTGTTCTCTCCATCTACTGTGCATGTTGCAGATAGAGGATTTGCCACCAAGGCCAACTGTCCGGCATACCAACCTGATGATGCTTTTTGAAGATATCCGCCAGATGACACTTGTGGGGTATACGGATTGGACTATGGGATGGGGTTACCAAGGAGAGGGGGTTGGGTCACATATTGATATCTATGATTAGGCGTGCTTTTGCCTCAGATCTTGCTTTGCCTAGCTGCTAACTACTCATGACCAGTAAAAGTACTCTTAATTCTGCAAAATGGAGTTTTCTTTCTTGGTTACTAAGGGAGGCTGCCGTGACATTAAGCAATATCTCAGTTTTGCGCTCATCCCGGAGCTAACACCTTCCGAGGGGAGTGCAACAAAATCCCAAACCCCTGAAGAATGTCCCACCAAGGCAGCGATCAGGAGGAAGACATGGGAACGTCTGCACCCTCGTGCCCTTTGGAAACAGAGCGAATGGCCAGACTGCACTTGGAAGAACTCCCACTCCCCATCGCCCCAGATGGACGTGGGGAGTGGGACGGAAGGATGACCCTGAGGAAACTCCGGCTGGAGTTACCACGAGGAGACAGAGATGACCAGCAGCTGCTTGGCAGGAGACAGAAGAGGAGAATCTTATGATGTCCCAGGCTATGAAGCTCTTTGAGGAGGCTTGGGAGAGGCGACCCTTTCGTGAGAGTGGTCCTGAAAGAGAAGATCTCCCAGAAACAGAGGAGAGGTCTGCAGAGGGCTTGTTCTGCCCAAGAGAAGCTGGGGGGGGGGGGGCAGAAGGTGGACCTGATCAGGATGACCAAGCTCCGACCCCAGCAGCAGCAGCCAGGAACATTCCAAGAGGGGGAGCCCCCCCCCGCAGACACCAGATGGCTAAAGTCCCCCCCCCAAGTGTGAAGTTGGGGGGAGAATCTAAAGATTTGGGGGGTTTTCTTGTTCAAGTGTAGAATTACATGCAACAGTACGGAGACAATTTACCAAATGAAGAGGCCAAGATAAGAATAATTACAATGGCGTTGGAAAATAAGGCAGCTGCTTGGATGGTGGCCCTGCATAATGCTGACTCTCCCCTACTGAGAGACTATAATAGATTTATCGCCGCCCTGAGAAAACGCTTTGATGATCCACTCATGGAGTGTAAAGCAAGAATTAAATTAAAAACCCTTACCCAGGGGCCCAGTTACTGGATATATACAAGAATTTCGTGAATTATCAGTGTATATGCGGGGTTGGTCCGAAGAGGCTTTGATGGACGGGTTCATGGATGGGCTAAACAAAGACATATACCAGAACTGTGTAAACAGGGGGGTCCCCCGCAGATTGCAACCTTGGTATGAACTGGCTGCGGATGTGGAGATTGATTTAGCTCGAGATAATTATCGCGAAGATAGTGAAAACGAAAAGGCTACCCCTCCCACCCACCCCCAGGTGCTTCTAAAGGAGGAAAAAGTGGGTCTGCAAGCAAACCCAGGCCGATCATCTGTTTCCGTTGCGGGAAGGAGGGGCACCGAGCAGCAAATTGCCACACCAAGATGACCCCAAGGCCCTCTACCAGGGGGGAAAGAAACCCAGAGAAACCGCCTGGGAAGAGGAGTGAGACCGCCATGAAAGGGGTGGAACCTAATCCAAGAGGAATCACCCTACTCATCGGAGGAAAGTGAAACCGAATCTGACGACGAACTTCTGGTAAGTTCCCGAACGGGCCCCATGATTATGCCAGTGGAACCTAAAGTGCCCTCTACTGGAGCGCAAGAGAAAATGCTGGCCCTTTTAGATTCGGGTTGCATACGTTGCATCGTTAGCCCCGAAGTAGTGGAAAAATTGGGCCTGAAACTGAAAACTTTAAAAGTCCCAATTGCTTTTTGCCAACTGGACGGCTCAATAGCTGGAGGGAGCCCTGCCCATTTTGTAATTGAACCAATAGACATATGGATGGGAACTCACCAAGAAACAATAAGTTTTATTGTGGCTCCAGGGATGGACAGGCCTCTCATATTAGGCTTACTTTGGTTACGTAAATAGAACCCACGCATCAATGGGAGGAAAGGGTGGTTACGCATTCGATCTGCTACACCCCCTGAAGGAGAGGGGGGGCTCCCAAACGGAATAATACTGACTCTAACCTAGCAGCCAGGGGGCAAGAAAAAATTGAGGGGGAGGAGAAAATCCCAAAAGAATATTGGGACCTGAGAGATGTTTTCNCTTTCTTTCTTTCTTTCTTTCTTTCTTTCTTTCTTTCTTTCTTTCTTTCTTTCTTTCTTTCTTTCTTTCTTTCTTTCTTTCTTTTTTCTTTCTTTATTTTCTTTTCTTTCCTCCTGGAGGCTTGTTACCCATCCTGGTAACTGACTATATCCCAGGGCTTTCCTAAGAGTGTTGTACCTTACAACTCTCTTTTTTCCTGTCCTCCTTAAGGACTAGGTTCTTAATACCTGTCTCTGCTCTGAGGTGTTCAGTGTCTCTTTTCTACTTTTTGGATCTCCCAGCAAACGCTGGCATATTTTTAAAGATCCAAACTTTTCTATATCTATCTTTAGACCTCCCAGCAAGCGCTGGCATATTTCTAAAGATCAAGATGTATAGAGATATTTGTTCACACATTGTTTGCATTTGACCAGGTTTCTAACTTGGATGCCCCATTCAGACAGGCTTTACCTTTTTATTACCAGCTCTTAAGCATTTGGTAATATGGTCCTGAATTACTTGTACAATGGGGGTGAGGATAATTTCTCTGCCAGAGACTTTACTTGAATGACTAATGGTGTATGGTGACCTGTATGTTCTGAAGGATTAACTTCTGCCCATAATCACTGCACTTCAAACTCCTGCCAGGTATAGAGGACTCAAACCTCTTGGACCACCATTTTCACATAATTTCTTTAAGTCTCCTGGATTGGCTTTGGGGGTCTACATAATCACCACTAAACCCTTTCTTAAAATTCTTCAACATGCATTGAAGAGGCGTCCAGGGAACACTCTGTCAGCCTCTGTTTTGCTGCTTCCTTTCGGCTGCCATTGAAACGGGGAGGGGGGGAGCATGATATTTGGGTGGGGAAGTATTTCAGTGCAGGAGTGACTGTAAAAAGGGAGTTGTTCTCACCATCTACTGCGCATGTTGCAGATAGAGGATTTGCCGCCAAGACCAACTGTCCGGCATACCAGCCTGATGATGCTTTTTGAAGATTTCTCCCACATGACACCTGTGGGGTGTACGGATTGGACTATGGGATGGGGTTACCAAGGGGAGGGGGTTGGGTCACATATTGATATTTATGATTATGCGTGCTTTTGCCTCAGATCTTGCTTTGCCTAGCTGCTATCTATTCATGACCAGCAAAAGTACTCTTAATTCTGCAAAATGGAGTTGAGTGGTTTCTTTCTTGGTTACTGAGGGAGGCCGCCATGACATTAAGCAAGATCTCAGTTTCACACTCATCCCGCAGCTAACACCTTCTGAGGGGAGTGCAACAAAATCCCAAACCCCTGAAGAATGTCCCACCAAGACAGCAACCAGGAGGCAGATGAGGAGAACCTTATGATGTCCCAGGCTATGAAGCTATTTGAAGAGGCTTGGGAGAGGTGACACTTCTCCCCACAGATGCCGGATGGCTAAAGTTCCCCCCCTGGATGTGAAGTTTGGGGGAGAATCTAAAGATTTTGGGGGTTTCCTTGTTCAAGTATGGAATTACATGCAACAGTTCGGAGATGATCTACCAAATGAAGAGGCCAAGGTAAGAATAATTACAAAGGCGTTGGAAAATAAGGCAGCTGCTTGGAAGGTGGCCCTGCATAATGCTGACTCCCCCCTACTACTGAGAGACTATAATAGATTTATGGCCGCCCTGAGAAAACGCTTTGATGATTCGCTCACAGAGCGAAAAGCAAGAACTAAATTTAAAACCCTTACCCAGGGAAACAAGAACTGTGTAAACAGGGGGGGTCCCCCGCAGATTGTAGCCTTGGTATGAACTGGCTGCGGATGTGGAGATTGATTTAGCCCGAGAAAATTATGGCGAAAATAGTGAAAAGGAGAAGGCTACCCCTCCCAACGCCCCCCCCTCCAAGGAGCTCCTAAAGGAGGGAAAAGTGGGTCTGCAAGCAAACCCAGGCCGATCGTTTTTTTCTATGGCGGGAAGGAGGGGCACCAAGCAGCAAACTGCCACACCAAGATGAGCCCAAAGCCCTCGATTAGGGGGGAGAGGAAGCCAGAAAAACTGCCTGGGAGGAGGAGGGAGACCACCA